CGATCAGCTGAATAAAACAGCCATAAAAAGTGAAGCCTAAAACTCGATTATCTGAAATGCTTTTAGGTTGGATAGATTATAATGAAACCAAACCGTCAGTAGGAAAGACCGGAGATGGGCTACATATGCCATATAAGTCAACCCACACCATGCAAAAATTATTAGACACTAATTATGACGTTAATACAAAACGAGGGAGCCATTCACGAAGGGTTTATTTCCCATGACCGAGACACATCCAAGCAATTTTTCTCAAATGGCAAACAAGAATGTGAAAATGCAATCGCATTTCTGAGTCTTGGCTTAGCTGGCCATTAACCTACTGGAACCGAGGTCAGTTCGGCTCAGTATTTCTGTTCTACAAGTAACAGAACAGTTACTACCTTACTCACTATTACCTTGAGGATTTTCAATACGCACATTTCTCTCTCTCATGTTCATGCAGGGTATGCATGGTTTATGGAGAGAAAACTTGAAGTGGATGAGGTGACGCGGTACGCAATGAATACCTAAAGGTGCCCATCGCTATATCACCGATTTCGGACCGACTGACGTCGTTGAATAGAGATCTATATTACTATAACCTGATTGTATTCTCTTGTGCCTTCATCAGCTTTGAATACGACACCGTGTGTCGCCCCAAGCCAACCGACGTCGGCTGCCCGATTACCGCGGGCATTCAGAAGTTTGCTCACGGTTTACCGGCCAATTATTTTCAACTGCCAATGATCTGTAGTTTAAAATAAATAATTAATAGCTATGCAGTTTGATTCCAAGGATTTTCCACTTAAGGTGACCAGTGATCGTCATAACTGACGATGAGTGTACACTTAACAAATATTGGCTATCATAAAACACTAGGCTGCCGAATTCACCATTGCACGGGCAGTAGGTTACTATTTTCTAAAACAGCAAGACAGTCTGTATGGTCCGCTGACATGCCTGAACAAAAACACTAAGTTTTTGCCGTCAAAACAAATCCGGACATTTGGGCTCCTCCTAGAATGCAAGATTTGATTCAGCGTAACATACAAATGAGCCAAACAAAATAGGCATACTAAAACAACATCTGGGAATAAGTATGTATTCCCCGATCAAAAGAGATTTTGACTGCAAAAATTTCACACCTCCACCGTGTAATTCGAAAACATTCAAAAAGCATGGTTGTCCAAAACTAAAAGTGTTTTAAAAATGTTTATTTCATAACTCGAACCTATCTTGTTGCTACTTCTTCGATTCATTTTCAAAAGAACAATCTTCCGAAGAAACGTATACCATTTGTTGGTTACCGTCCTATGAAGCAAGCTTGAACTATGTGAAAGCTTTCTTCATAGATTTACAAAATTTCTGGTGCTTGCATACTTACACTCCTTCCCCTCATCCAGTATATCACCGTAATTTAAACTTAGCGGTGATTCTAATCAATTGATATTTTACAGTATATGCTAAAATGGTGGAGAGGATTGAATATGGCAGTCCATGTGGAATCACTTGTCCAGGGCGACTAATGTTAACATCACCTCGATAAAAATCAAGCTTTCACCACGACAGTGTCAAAACCATTGGACGGCAGTGAAATGTTTGAGAACTTTGCACATCCTGCAACAACAACTCCGTAATATCCACTGACCTTGAAATTTGCGTAAAACTACACCAGTACGATTGTTTACAGTGCGAATAATTTATGGGTTATGCCAGAGGAAATACCAGAGCAAGTCGTGTTGCTTCACGAAAATACATCTATTGGATTTTTTAACGTTTGGTGCCACTCGTCTTATTGTTCACACACACACACTGTTGGTTGGCGGTCATAAGCAGAACTCTCCACAAGCGCTCTTTTGAAAACTGGCTGTTTATTATTATTATCATTTAGCCTGAAAGATTTCAAGGAAACCAAGTTGGGAATATGTCTGCCAGAACATCCGACAGAAATATGCCCATAGCGATATCATAAATCAAGCGTGTATAAACACCACACTTATTCCATTTGATTTGAACCTAATGATGACATACATTGTCCTCTCTTATCTGGGATGGCATCGCAATTTACTTTGTAACAAGAGCAAGTTGAAAGGAGAATGTGAGCTTGAAGGAAATGTGTGAGCTTACAGTACGGCTGCCGCGAAAAACCCATGATTAGATTAGGTGTGGGGACAGATTTTGCAACTTTGGTCAAACATAATTGCCTCTAAGAAGTGACGCCGATCACACGGCAGTACGCAATGAGTACCAACAGGTGCTCATCGCTATATCACCGATTTAGAACTGAATGACGTTACGGTAAGTGATTTCCATGATCTACAGCTGATCGTATTTCCTTGCGCCTACATCGGGTTTGAACACAGCGCCGTATGTCGCCCCTACGCCAACCGACTTCACCCACAAATATCCAACTGATTTCAAAAGCAGTATTTGGCTTTTGTTGTACCATTGCTTTTTCAGATAACCACAGGAGAATATGAAGACTTGAGAGCGTCCAGCCTCTGTGGAAGTCAAATTATTAGTGATGCATTGAAGAACTGCAGTTGCCGGTTACTCGTCGTAGTTAGAAAGAATCCATTTTCAGTCTAACGAAACCAGCGACAACCAAATTTCTCTTATTGGGTCAGGCTTCAGCTAATTCAGATTATGAGAGAACGTGAAGTCCAATGGAGCGGTATGAACGGTGCTTATTGAATTTGTATGAGTCTATGCAAGTCGTAATATACTTTGAGACAGGCCGTCCTTTCGATGAAGCTTGAGGGAGACATTTTGGACGAACCCCGTCTCCATGATGCAGCTGCAAACTCGCGTGACTGGAAGAAAAACTTGCATCCATAGTACTGGCTTCGTGGAACAATAAACCCGCTGGTAAATCCAAAGGTCTGGAACCGAAATGAGTTCGTTTTGCTTCCCAACCAGTGTCTACTCAGTATTTCCAGCCTACGAGTAGCATCATGAACCAAGTAATTCATCGCAAAAAGCTCAGGCTACCAGCTTCACGATTCTTTGACAGGTACAGTCTCCTGCTTGTCGGGTACGCAGTTCGAACCCAAATATTTGCTACTTTGGGTGACCAGTGATTTTCAGAAACGGAGAGGCATGTAAATCTGATAAACATTGGGCTGCCTAAGCAATAGCATTTTCAGGATTATTCCTCTTTGGGTGTAAAGAATGTTGAGTCTCTGAAGAACCACGACGGTCTGTGCAATTTCCTGACGGAGTGTTCCACCACCAAGGCTTCAACACTCAAAGTATGCTTTCGCTTAGAAAACAAAAGTCGCTTCATTGCAAAATACAAATGGGCCGAACAAAACAAAATGTCCTACACAACACCTGAGGACATGCCCCTTGGCTTGCGACCAAAACATACACATGATAGTTGTCCGAAAGCTATAGTGTTTATCAAGTGTTAATCTAATGGCTCGGAATGTGACTGTTGTTTTCCTCGCGATTGATTTTTAAGACGCTCGTCATTCGTGAGAAGCGCTGGCGCATTCTAATCTGGTTCTCAATAATTATGTATGGTCGTTTGTCACCTCAATCTAAAGCTATTTTTAACTATTTACAGCTTACGTACAAGACAAATTTACTCGGTCGAATAATTTCTATACAATAGAATCTCTAATACTTCAAATAAGTTTCGAATCGGCATTACTTATGATGAATGATCTGTTGCTATTCTGCGGTGTTCTTTCAAAAGGATGGAAATCACTTGACATATATAGCGGTCCAGGTAGGATGACTCATCTAGCTCAACTCAACCATTTTATCGTCCTTATTTTCGCACATTCAAACTTCAACTCGGTAAAACTCTGAATTCTGCAATGCATGCACCAAGAAGGCTCACATGCTACTCATGACCGGATGCATTCAAGCGTCACTCTTTGAAAAGGTACAGTTTGTCTTTCGTTACAAGCACCTGTTTTATGTTTACTTGCATAAAGTACACTTGACAGTGACGGTTCTACGAAA